GTCACCTTTATTAGAAAGATTTTTGGTGTCTTCTAATTTACATCTGCAATCTGTGGTCTGCAGTCTGAGGTCTGCGGTCTGCAGTCTGCAGTCTGCGGTCTGCGGTCTACAGTCTGCAGTCTGCGGTCTGCAGTCTGCAGTCTGCAGTCTGCAGTCTGCAAATGTCATACACCGATCGATAAAAACTGAATTGAACCAAAATAAGTGTTTATATCAAGCTACATTGTATAAAGGTCCGTGAGAATAAATCAGCGCAGGGGCGGATCCAGGATCTTTTTTAGGAGGGGCTGCACTCGTCCCTTGCTCTACTTCAACACCAATAAACCACATAGTTTTTTTTTTTTGCAGAATACTAGTTGTATTAGAAAACCGCAGGTCATCTCAGGGAGGGGTGCGCACCCCCTGCACCCTCCCCCTAGATCCGCCCCTGCAGCGTATTATTTGCCTGACACCTTGTTCACGCCGTTAAGAGCAAACGAGCGTTGGAGTGAATGAAATGGAATCGAGTTGAACATTTATAAACTGGTTCATAAAGCTTCACTAGCGTATCAAATCATTTTTAACCTTTGCTTCCGTTTTGTATAAAACGTTTTACTACCAAGGGAAAACAAACCTTGTCACTTTCTAGAAAAACTCTTAATAACTAAAGCAATTTATCAATTAAATAAATACAACAAAGCCTGGCTGAATCCGGGGGCTGAATACGAATTTAGCCAAAACAGTTTCAGGAATTGCTTGAAATATTCTAAGAAACGTATCGCTTCACGGGAATTTTTACCTTCACTTGCATCCATACTCTTCGCTTGCAAAAACGTGGCTTTCTAACAGGATTTCTCCCGGCCTTAAAGTTTTCCACATCACAAATTATCTGTGTTCTAAGTGTTCTTTTGTTTTCTTCCTGAATCGATTGACTGCGAACGAAAGACACTGGAAAGAGCCTCGATTTTGAAGGCCGTTCTTAAATCGAGGCAAATGCGGTGATGTGACATACATACATACATATTTACATCCAAAAATCTCAAATGAAGCTCAGGGGCACCCAACGACCGTTTTCTGGGAAATGATCTGAAATGGCTCCTTATGCATCCTGGAGTGCTTTAAAAGCAATATAAATGAATAATTCGCATCGCTAAAAAAATTTGATCTGTTCGGTCGTCCTAGGAGTGGTTTGAACGTCTCGAATTTT